TACTGTCATACGAAGATAGCAGTTTGAGTGTTTAGGAAATACAAGAGAAACAACAAAAGTTGATAGAGTCGAGGGAAGAGCTCTCAGGTATATTTTATGATCAAGAATCATCAGAGGGGCTGCAAAACACAGAAAAACCAAATGCGATGCATGCACTGCATGCATCGCCACTCCCAGCACAGCCCCAAGAAAAATCAATAGGATTTGTTTTGCATGCAAACAACTGACTTCTTGAGGTTGAATGTTTTTACCCTTAGCCTTGGATACTAACCTTCTGCACTCACCCGTTCACTGAGAAGCTCTTCGCATCTTTTTACTGCAAATTCATCAATAAACTCCTTTGCATTTCTCTTCCTCTCAAGGGATTAGACAGAAGAAGGGTAAGCGACTTACTTGCATAGACAGCGAAGACGCAAGCACTCTATCTGAGCCCTGATACTCTCTCTAGTGCTTTGCCTGCTGATTAACACAACTCTTTCTTCTTCATTCCTAAAAGATTTTGCGTTTATTGCAGCAGATGTGGTGAGGCTCTCTTTGCATGCCGAAGACAATACATGAAATGATCGGTTTATATGCACAACGCTCTATAAGGATACAGCAGAAGTATGCAGTGTATTGGAGACATCTCAGCACTGTCTCTTGTTAAGTAGACAAGCTCTTAGACTTCTCATATTCAGCAGTTTGCTTTCTAAGATAATTAAAAACTGCTTTAACACTTAACAAAAAGTTTGCAGGGGTTTGATAACAAAAAAATTCTTCGGTGGCTTTGCCTGCTTATGGAGTACGACTTCATAGACAAGTTTATATATAAATGAGATATATAATATATATATATGTATATATATATATACATATATATACATATATATATATATCTCGTGATGAGAGAGAGCCTTTTTTTATAAATATGATTGATAAGCACAGATGCAGAACAGAATGCAAAGGCCTACCGTTTATTAATTAGGTTCTGCATCTGCATTTTTTTGCTACATCATCAATTATCTTTTAAAGTTAGTCTGTATCTACTACTTATATTTTCTGTTATCTTTGGATCTTGCTAACTTCAATGATGAGAGCGTGGTTAAACAGTATGAGTTCGTTTATTTTTTAGTGTATATCTGTATATCTTCTTTATAATATCTTTGAGTTTAATTCTTTTTTTTCTCCTTTTGTTTACTCTCCTTACTCTCCGGTGTATAGGCAGGTAAAGATTACCTCAGAAGAGACACCCCAAGTATAGATAAGAAGAGATAAAGAGCTATCTTCTGTCTAAAGCTAGCAGTCTCTATATATAGAGTTAAGAATAGCAGCAGCAGTTACAGCAAGGCTACTGCTACACTTACTATGAGGTCACGGGTTCGATACCCACCACCATTAAAATAACAAAATAGACATTCTATTGTATTTATTTTGATGTTTTCTTTAGAGATTAAGAAATACTCATAAAATAACAAATATAGAATTCAAGAAGTAATGAAGAAGAGACAGAAGGTGCAAACAAAACAACTTATCAGCACTTCTTTCAACAAGTTAGAACACGAGATAACAAGCAGAAAGAACAACAAACAACTGCCACGGCTATTGATCTGTACCTGCTGCTGCTGCTGCTGCTGCTGCTGTTGCAGCTGCTGCTCGTGATGCTGCACGTGATGCTGCATGTGATGCTGCTGCAGCTGCTGCGGTATGGAGGTAAGAAGACGAAAAACAGCAAAATATTTAAATTTCAAAAGATCAGACGTTAAAGCCAAACCGGAAGGTTGGATCTTGAGTACCTCTCTGCTGCTGCTGCTGCTGCTGTTGCTGCTGCTGCTGCTGCTGTTGCTGCTGTTGCTGCTGCTGTTGCAGGCGGGAGCCCAAGCCCGCGCGGGCTCGCGGCTGTACATCCACCGCATATTTTGTTTGTTTATTTTGAAGTTTTGTATTTGCATAATTTGTCAGTCGTTAGTTCACTAAGCAGGTGGGTATCATTTGTCTTTGCTGCTGCTGCTGCTGCTGCTGCTTTTCTTGCTGCTGCTGCCTAGGTTGCTGCTGCGAAGGCTACAGCTGCAGGGGCCCGCTCTAGAGACTTCCTGATCTTCTATTATCTCCTTTATCTTCTCTTTCTTATTCGTGTCCATTTGCATGCAACGAATACTGTTGCTGCTGTTGCTGTTGCCGCTGTTGCTGCTGCTGCCGTTGTTGCTGCAGCTGCTCTCGAACAGACAGCTGCTGCTGCTGCTGCTGCTGCTGTTGCTGTTTCACTTTCAGCAGCATGAAGAAGAATGCAAGCATGAGCACCTCTCAATCTTTTTTGTTGGCGTGGTGTATTTGTTTTGCTGCTGCTGCTGCTGCTGCTGCTGCTGCCGTTGCTGCAACAGCAGCAGCACGATAATATCGAAGGCGAGAGGGCGTGTGTTTGCTTTGCTGCAGGTGTAGATTTATTGTCTTCTGAAAATGTCGCAGCCAGCAGGGAAAGGA